TTTTTTATATCTTTGCATCGGGTGAGGCTCATAAACAGTCTTAGCAATTATTGAGAATCATTGACAGAGCGACAAATTAAACGAAAAAACTTAAATCGACCCTTGTTAAGCCAAAAACGAAGTGCAGCCATAAAAAACTTCAAGTTAAAATTTTTCCAGGCAAAATTTTAGGACCCATCTTTCCTGAAACAGGTAAAAGCATTTGAAAAAAGTAGCTCGTAAAACTACCTAACATAAATTTACTAAACCATTATAACATAAGCCGAATCCCTTTATCCGGAAAAAAAACATTTTGTGAAATAATGAGTTGGTAATTTTACAAACTTGAAAAGCGTACCAAATAATTTAAATTGCAGTTGGAAAAAAACAGAAAAACAACAAATCCGCACACAAAAATTGAATTTCAAGAAACTCAGCCGGTCTAAGCAGCAGCAGAAAACATTTCAAAAAATTTACATACAAAATTTTTTTTACGGTAAAAAAGCGTAGTTCCCGATACAATTCACTTGCTGATGCAAGTAAAATGAATATAAAAAATAAAAATTATTTAAGTGGACTGGGAGGTATTTTAATTTGATTTTCTGGAAATTGATCATATCAACCTGCGCACGTGAAAGTAACTGCGCTAACTGCATGTATGTTTTGAATTGCAGAAAAGTTGTCAACGGAAAAAAACTAGATCCAACTACAAGTCCCTTGCTCTTGCAAGTAAAAATACTAGATCATGACTTGAAGCCATGCTACCGATTTTCTATATAATTCAGTAGAGTAGCTTGAGTAGCTCAATAAACGACTCCATGCTCAAAAAATTACCAAAGTTATTTATGTTACATAGATTTTTTACAGAGAGTTGCTGGACTTTTGCTTGAGGTTTAAATTCGGTTCAATTTTTCCCTAAATAACCATCAACTTTTCCAACGAATCAATCAAAATGGCATAAATGGTTGGGTGATCCGAAATCAGACAGACACAATTAAATCAATTTCACAGCAAGGCAGCTCAGTCAAAACAACCCAAAAATTTCGAACAGACATTTCGGAAAACGCGCTACCAAATAAAACGCTACGCGGAAAGCAAATTTTCGCTTCTAAAATTTAAGATTAAAACTTACATAAAGTGGCTGATGATTAATTCTTTTCAAGTGAGCTAAAAAAAACAACAAAAACTCTTCTAGTGTACCTACTAGAGACGGTGGCTATTCTCATGGGCGAAAGACTCATGGACAAAGGATCGAAAATAAAAGCAGCCGAAAGTGAATTATTACAACAAAAATGTCGTTCAACTAAAAGGAATTAAATGAAGCAAAAATTGATTTCTTTGAAAACCAAATCGTTGAAATATGATATTTGTTCCAATTCGCCGGCAGTCAGTGACAATTTGAAAATTACAAGATTTCTGCCGTTTTCATATTGGGCCAATAATTATATTAAGTCCCTGGAAATGTTTATTTCTGAGATTTTCACCGTTTCTTTTCAAATTTTGGAATAGAGAAATCTGATTGGTTGATTTTTTTTCACCCATTCGGTTCTTCGCCTGTGATGGATTCCAGCAATATAGACTAACGTATAATGCAACTAAATATCAGTGCAACTATTTTCCTAAATATTCAATTTTTTCAATTTTTTTTTTCTGTTAAATTGAACGGTTTTAACTAAAAATTTGTTTTTTTTTCTTGCTACCTTGTGACTGAAAACTCTGCTTAAAAGGTCTTACCTTATACAGATGAAAAGTCTCATTTCAAACACGAATGAAATGTCGCTTTGCAAAATGGTGGTACCGGGGGATCATGTTTTGATCAGCTTTTTAGGAATTTTTAGCGTCCCATTTTTGATCAAACATCTGTCGGTTTGATTTCTATCAAAAAAATAAAATTTTAATGGTTCAGTATCATAAGTTTTCAATGTTTGAGCATTGGTAATCTATTTTAAAAATGTTTTTCCGGAAAATTATAAAATTTTAGTAAAATTTTTATTTTTTTTGGATTCTTTCTTTGATCGCCTGTTAGTCGCATCCAAGTTTTTCACCATATCCAATTTTTTATCATATTCAGGTTTTCTCAAAAGATAGGACTTACAACATCAAAGTTTTAACTTTTGATCAATAGCGGACTACGGGGGATGGGGGGACATTTTTCTTCCGGGGATTGCCCCCTCCCCAATCAAAAGCCCCCCATTGGTATTATATTTGACATCCATTTTCGGCCGACCAACCCTAAAATTTTTCTAAATTTTCCTAAGTGTGAAAAAACGGCATTCATGGACAGTTGCTATTTATATGAAAACTCACTAAACAATCTATTTGTCACAAACATTTTTCGAGTTTCACTGAGCTTAACATGTGATGTTTTGAAATGACAATAAAACAAGCAAACCCTCCTAGGCTTAGCACTATTTGCAATACCACCACACCAACTCGTGGTTATCGATTTGATAATTCTAGATGCTAGCTCAGGCGCGGATGTAGGAAATTCTCGAGAGGGGGCGAATTTTGTCGACTTTTTTTTAGGCCTGACCAAAATGATTTTCTGAGCTCTCCCATATCACTATAAAGAACCTAATTTGACCAAATTTTCAAACAAATTTTTGAAAAAAAGCCAAAAAAGGCGTTTTTAGGCACTTTTTGGAAAATTTCAAAAAAAAATTTGCGTCTTTTCGGCGCGCGCTCTCCCCTCAAAATTAGGTTGATTTGACGCCGAAGGCTTCTTTAGAAAAAATTAAAAGCAGTCAGCCAAAAATGGATATCTCAAAATAGTACAAAGGGGGATCCTTTGGATCGACAGGGGGTCGAATACCTGAGGGAAGCGGCATCCGACCCCTCCCCCTCCCTAAATCTGCTACTGTGCTAGCTAACTGCAAGCGTAACTAAGCAAAACAAGTTTTAGAAGTTTCAGTAAAGTACATTAACTGATCCCTTGGGGCGGAGGCTTTTTAGTAGGAGGACTAGTTTAGGGTACCCATTTTTAACTGACTGACCTTAAAATGGGAAGCACGCGCCAAAAAAGGCAATTTCTTGGACAAAATGGGGTAGTTTTAGTGATCTGAGGGCTCGAAAAATCAATTTGGTCGATCTAAAAAAGGCGACAAAAATGCCAAAAGTTTTTTGAAAATCGACAAACCCCTAATGAAAATCCTAGATCTGCCCCTGACTCTGATGTTTGTATTTCTTTTTTGATTTCATACACTGCTCTATTAGCAAATACTTTACTACCTCTTTGCACAAATATCTGTTTTTTTTTTCAAAAACATTCCTGTCCAACTAATCATACTTTCAAATCATTATTTTGAAAACTAAGCTGAGCTTCTTTCAATCCCGATTGTTTGATCTTTCGTTTTCATTTTTACTAAGTACACTGAAGAACAGTGCCGTGCAAAAGAAAGCTGGCAATTCAACCAAACAGCTCTAGATGAAGATTTATGAGATCTTGAAACAAATCTGTATTACTATTCAACTACGAACAAAAGAATTCCTCCGTAACTACAGTTATGTCATGTTTCTTCTTCAATTTTTTGCAAAAAAAATTGGACCGCTGCAAGTCTGGTACTTAAAAATTTCTACAGCAGGATTCGAGAAAAAAAGCTAGTGTATTTTCCTGCAAAATTGTTTTAAATTCAGTCTATATTTACGAACATGATGATAAAGATGTCCAAACCTGTAACTCATACCGCTTTTCAGCCCATTTCAATGTTTAAACGCTTTTCTTCCATAAAATTTCTTCCATAAAATGGCGTCTTTAATTTTAAGCATTATTTTAATGCTGTAATGCTTAAGTTTGAATACTAATTGATTGCGTTCTAAGTATTTCTGTGAGTATTGTAACAAAAAACATACCAATAATATTACAGAGGCGAAGTCTCAATCGTGATTATAGCAAAAATGCCACCAAATGATCACTTTTATTTGCGAGTTAGATTGGAAACTTTGCCAACTGAGAGTTGTAATAGACTAATCTAATTTTCGAAGAATTTGCGAAAAATTAAAATTAAGCGAGAACAATTTTTTTCTTAAAAGACTTATATTTCAATTACCTTTCCGATTTTTAACTGTTGGTAACTCAAAGCATACAAAAAGAAAGAACAAATAAGTGAAGAACGTTCCGACTGCTCCAAAATCTCTCCTCAAAACCTTTCTCAATTAGATGATTCGATTGAGTAGCGGACCCCTGGCAACCCAAAGCTCCCCCTTTAGCACTACTTTAAAACCCCCATTTTTGGCTGACTGACCATTATTTTTTCTTAAGGCGCCTTCCGCGACAATATATACTATTTCTCAGTCAAAACTGTCAAAAAAATGCCTAAAAAACCTTTTTTTGGCCTATTTATTCAAAAATTTGTTCGCCTGCAGCATAAAAAATTTGGACAAAATACGGTCTTTTTAACTGATTTGGGAGAGCTCAAAAAATCAATTTAGTCGACCTGAAAAAAGGTCGACAAAATTTTCTGAAAAAACTCCCCACCCCCCCCCCCCCTCCTCGAGAAAATCCTAGATCCGCCCCCTGATTCTATAACAGCATTTTGTTTTAGCTGGCATTTATGAAAGAAGATTAATTTTCTTTGCCATTACGCTCTGTTAATAATATAAATTTGGGGTTGCTGAAAGAGTAATTCTAGTTGTGGCTTCTTGCTCCTTTGACTAGTTCGTAGTTCGCCTGTCAACAACAAACACAGGCAGAAATGAATGCTATTCAATTGAAGACTATAGCTCAAACTACTAAAAATAGATATACAGCTATTCAGTTATTGCTGAAAATTACAATTTTTCAGAAAAACTTTCCTCGATAAAAAAACTTTTCTCGATATTAATAAAAAAATGTTTTAGAATTTTTAAATATTGATTATATCACAACTGGAATGTCTTCATAAAAAATGATCAATTGATTGTCGAAAACAAAATAATGGAAGCCTTCGTTCATTTCTACTTCGTGGTCGGAAATATTAAAAAATTCCGCAATCGCCTGCAGCAAAACATCGACATAACTTTCAAAACTAGGGAAATAGATCGACTAAACAAAAAAAAATCTATTTCAAATCGTTACCGAAGCTCTGTTTTAATTGAGTTATTTTGAGTTCTCTTGATTAAAGTTTCTTGATTTTCTCTGCAGTGTTCATCGTAGTCGGCGTTTCTTGACTCTTCGGGAACTAGTTTCCACCAGTCCGAGTCGGGTTCTTTTGACCTCCGAGCAGCTATTTCAACTAGAGAAGTGAACGTTTTCGGCTCGTAAATTGCAAGTCCTGATAGCATAGGTTTGCTCAGCAAAATGTTACACCTGAAAAAAAAAATGCGTATCAGCAACACAAAAATTACATCCATACCGAGATAACTTGTCTAAGCTTCGCTCGATCATTTCTTTTTTTGAAACACGAGAAATTCAATCTTTGAAAAACAGACAAGAAACACGGGGGCTATTCTTATGCGCGAAGGACCGAATGGGCGAACAGCTAGTGGGCGAAAGACTGGTTTTCGGCGTCTGGTTTTTAACTCAGTTTTCGTTGACTTTCCTGACTTATCTTTAATTGGATGGAAGAACCCACCTTACACCACAGTTATTTCTCACATCGAGAAACGGTCAAAACGAGACATCTATCGGAAAATTTTGATTTTAGCCTGCTTCGATGAAAAGTAAGGCATTTATTTAGTATATGGTGGAAGGGGTCTGATTAAATTTTATTTTAAATATTTTTTGTTTTGACCATTTCTCGATGTGGGAAAAAATTGAGGATTAGAACCCCTTCCACTATATACTAAATAAATTTCATACTTTATATCGAAGCAGGCTAAAATCGAATTCGTCCTATTGATTTCTCATGTTTTCTAGTAAAAATTTCCTCTGTTCTTTACGACTACATAGCGCAAGTTAGATGCATCTGCTTAATGAGAGAAGGATCCATCATTCAAATGGCTTGTTCATTCTGTCAGCTTGAGACCATAATTTGATTAAACATTCGAGTTGAAAAATAAATTTTTGAGCGAATTTATTTTACCTTGCAAAGTCAAACACTCGGCCATTACAGCTGACTTTTTTCAACTTCAAAAAGAAATCACAAACCTTTGAAGACTTTCAATCAAAACTCTACCGTCCATTCCATGTTCCATTGCTGCAGCATGTATTCTCATATCGTGAGTATGAGCCATTAATTTTGGGTCGTATTTCACTCTTTTACGAATATCGTATCTCAAGTATTTGATCAATTGAAAGCCAGCCAGTCTGGTGCAATTACCAAGCCGCCCTGAAAGAGCTCTGGCTTTTGATTTTAAAGCCATTCTCCACCAATACTTGTCATGCCCTCTTTTATACCTGTAAGGCGCAAACAATTCAAATCCCAACTTCATTTCTGAAAATAAAAACTCTCTGAACCTGCAAAGAAAGAGAAAATTCTTTATTAGAAGAAGTTATGACACGCTCAGAACTGCGGGCGTTGCTCATGAGGTTGTCCTGATGCATAACACGACAGCTCACGATAAAAGACAACTCGCACTACAAGACAACTGGTATTAATAAACAGCTCGCAATCAGGGTTGGCAAAAAAGTGTGTTTTTTAGAAAAAAAAACGTTTAAAACAAAAAAAACGTTTAAAACACTGTTTTTTTTTCAAAACGTGTTTTTTTTCTATATTCTCGTGAGAAAAAAAAAATGCACAAAAATAATTCAATTATCTTTGAGTAATCTCATGCAGAAAGCAAGTTTCCCAACTTTCTCTGGTCCCAATTTGTTCCTCAGATCAGAATGAATGAAGCCCATCGTACTAAATGCGCGTTCGAGGCCCGCGGAGCTGTGAATAAGGGCAATCAATTTCAGTTTGGCGGCAACGTGATGAGGCGGCAACGTGATGAGGCAATGTCGGCAGCTCACGCGAGTATCCGATAATTTGTTAAATTCGGCCCAGATTGAAAAAAAACACAAAAAAAAACACGTGAAAAAAAACGCCTGTTTAAAACAATGTTTAAAACATGTTTTAAACACCAGTTGTTTTTTTTCTGCCAACCCTGCTCGCAATATACTCACATCCGAAGTCGCGCTAACGTGTTGCGAGCTGGCCAAAAGAGGATAGGAATTTATACAAAACTTCGGTAAGAGCCGAACGACCTTAGGCCAATATTCACTATAGAGCAGTCCGACGAACACGGATAAAGCAGTCGTTGGCACAGGACAAAACATTCATTCCGGTAAAATTGTCAATTTAAGAGACCACACTCTTTGCAAAAAAGAAATGAGGAAATGAATAGATAGAAGACATCGATATTTTATATGCTTAATATCAAACTCATCGCTAATTGTACGCTCCAACTCTGCGTACTTTTTAGTCTACTACTACTACTAAAAGACTTTATTCCTTATAAAGGCGGCAGAAACACAAGTATGAGCATTAAGATCTACAGGTTAAACAGCGACAATTGATAAAAGTCATAGGGACACAAAAATTACTGATGGACAGAAGCTGAAAAGAGCAAAGAAGTCGGCTATGAATACTGTAGTTTATATATAGAGGGCAGTGCCAGGACAAAAAGGAAGTGAAGTACAGATCGAAGGCTTTGGAATGAGACAAATATCAAAAATGTTAATTTTCAAAGTAGTGTCACTCTGCACTAGGCCGCGTATTTCTGAATAATACTAGAGGGGAAGGTTTGATAATTCTTTGGAGATGAACAAGATACAACAATTGTTAATAGATTATTATCGAATATTTTGAAATTTTATAGATACTGACAATAAAATGATAAAAAATCGATCATGATTCAAAGGCGCTCCGCTCCGTGCATGCATTGATTGAGTGATAAAAACATCCTCCCATTTGCTTATCTGTTTTCCTTTCAATTAGTTTCGGTCTCAGTTGATAAGATTTACTTTAAAAGGATATACTGAATAGAAAAATAAATTTAAAAACATCAAAACACCATAGAGCAATTTAATGCTTACGAAATTAACCAGATATACTTCTGGATTTCACGGCAGAAAAATGTAGAAGTCATGGAGGAATCAAATATCATCTATTCAACTATTTTAAAGTTAACGAGGAAACCAAAGTTCACAATCTTGTTTGCTGCTTAGAAAAACTACCGTTTAACGCACAACCGGTGCTTCGAAATTTTTCGACAACTCATGAAAAACCGCATATATCGGAAACAACATCTGCAAACTTTTAGTGTACTCTGACTGTACCCAATTACAGGGTTGGTAATTTCGAACTTTTTAATTTTTTTTAAATTCCTATTTGAAAAGCGTGATCTCGAAAAGTTAATGGGTCTCTGCAGAAATTTGAAGACCAGTTTTGCAACCACTGAGAGTCCCTAAGAGCACCCTACTATAGGGTTAGGAATTCAAAATTTTGTGAATTTTTGTGACATTCGACCAGAATGTGAAAAATGCAATCTCTGCAGAATTCGAATTTTTAGCAGCGAGCCTTCCGGATTGGTGATTATTAAGAACTAAGAACGTTATTGGAACGATTGGCCAAACGGTGAGGGCTGGAATATTCTGGTATTTTAAAATTTCAAAAATTCGAATTATGACGTCATATTTCTGAGAAACGTCAGAAACGGCCATTTTGGCTAAAACAAGAAAGAAAAAGAGAACAAAATTAGCTGCGCTAACAACAACTACAAAATCGAGATTGGAAAACGACAACGAGTTACAGAGTAACAGAGAACACTCCGAGTTGCAACTATTGTGCCGCTACAATAGTTGCAAGGCCGTTGCGAACAACGGTGAAGGGTGAAAGACGGCCTTCCGGATTAAGAAGAAATCAGGATTAACAAGCTTGATCCAGCGGATTTGTCAATCCGGAGGGGTAAAGGAACTGAAACTTTTATCCTGTTACATAAACTTTTAGCTTCCTGTCATGTCCTGACTTGAATTTAATTAACATCTAGATTTATTTTGTGTAACAGTCGCCTACTTTAGTCACATATGAGGCTTAAGAAAAATAGGCCCTATAACCATTGGCTCAAGAGTCAGGGACACTATCTCTTGTGTTTTTCCGCCTCAAGAACGGTCGGAGCCAATTCGGTTCGCTTGCGACATGAGACTGGAACCCATTACAGCTTAAAGGCCACTACCAAAATACCCCCCCCCCCCCACTCTAGAAATAAAAACGTCCCCATACTTAGGTCTCGGGATACCCAAAATACATGAACGCCGTTAAAAACCGGGTCGGAACAATCCGCTTAGTTACTTTTTATTGGACAGTGGAACTTTGATCCATTTCAGATGGATCAACCTAAAACTCGCCTTATCTCAACATAACTATCATAAAATGCACTCGAGAAATTTAAATTGGAACTTACATATCGACGCACTTGAGTATGAGGAGTAAGTTATAACTGAGCAGCTTGAGAATTAAGTAATATAACTAAATAAGTTTTAAGGCCAATTAGTTTCAATAACAGAAGTAAGTTTTGTCTCTAGAATCAAAGTCTCTGAATGAACCCTTTGGACACTCGAGTTGTCCACTCTTCCATTCAGAGTCCACTCCTTTCCATTCGAATAATTGTTCTGTCTCAAGTCCGTATTCGATTCTCCTGTTTTCAGGACAAGACAGCTCTACTCTCTTGATATTTCGTATCGAGAAATTGCGAATAGCAATTTCCTGCCTTTTTCTTGAGTAGTTTCCCGCAATTGTTAATTCGGGTGTTCTGATTTCTGACTTTTTCATTTTCAGTTGGTTCGAGAAAATTGAGCATGACAGGCTCGATTCGAATTTTGCAAAATTAAAATTTCACTCCAAAATTACGTATTTCTCAAGGTCAAACCCCCAGACATGACCGACTGGCACATACTCCCCGGACTCGAGATCGATGTCCTCATCGTGTGTTGTCATCTGCCAATAAGTCCCAGAGAACCGAGTGTTGCTCAAGATACAGTGCCAGTGGTCATTTACAGAAGTTTGCATCGGACTTAAGTTTATCTACCTTCCAAAATTCACAACCATATAAAATTTTCACACTATCGCTAAACAGCAATCAAAATCTGCACACACCTGCACCCATGGATCCCCGCTTTTTAAGCTGGTAATTTTAAAATTTCTTTTGTCCTATTTCAGTCAGAGAATTGTCATGCATCAATTTGATTTATATACTAGATCTATCATATTAATAACAATATCTTATTCGTCTAAAATTTCTTTTTCGTGAACCCAGATTTCATCCAAGTTCACGCTCAAGCCCCCTCCCTCTCAAGACTCAAGACTCTAGAATTTCCTTTCGAGCCACTGGCTCACCTCATGTTCTTCGCCTTCGAGGTACCTGATACCGGTGTTCTTGGCACTGTAATTTGTTCCAATAGTGCCTCTTCGTCATCGGAGCTAATCACAATTTCCTCCCAGGCCTTCAGCTGTTCATAGGCTCGCATCCACTCTCTCTGCTCTTGCAACCTTTTCAATTGACTTGGTAGGCCTTTCACCTTCGACTCCCGGTTCAAGCAGAAGGAGTTATGAAGACTCAAGCTCACATTCCTCGCCAGGTCCTCCTCCAGTATCGTTTCCCTCGCTCTAGAATTGTCTCTGGATATTCTGCCTACTCTTTTCCACCCCGCCGTGATTGCGTTTCGATGGGTTAGCAGAGGTCTCTTAAAGGCATCTGGCCCTATTTCAGCTTGGAATTGTCGATATTCCTTCTGATGTTTCCTCATGTGGTCCTTTGTCACTGCATACAACCAGGATGTTAACGTCGCACGAAACCAAGGAAAGAATCTCAGGCGGCTCCATATGTGTCTGACTTGCACTGGTATGGCGAATACCTTGCATGCAGTCTCGAACAACTCCAGTCTCCTGCTGTAATCTATCGCATAAATCGATTCAGCTGTTGGCGCTCTCGATTCTCTGTACTTCGCTATATTCTCCTCAATCCATCTCAGAGCCAGCATCGTGCTTACCACTAAGATGGTCACCTTTTGTCGATACTCCGGTAGTCCTAGCGACTTAATTTCTTCTACGTCCCAGATCAGACAGAGATTGGCGCGGTCCGGGTACCACACTGTCTGCGCCAGACAGTGGCATGGACAATCCCCATGCGTGAGGTCGATGCTTCTAAGGTTGCGTTATCCCGAAGCTTCTAGGAGAGGCTCAAGTTCCATCATTTTCTCATGCACCACGTCGACTTCTTCCGAGCTTGAAGCACCTACTGCGGGTTTCCCCACCACGTTCTGCTTCCCATGATCACTTGCATTTTCGCTCTCCAAGCCTAGAAGTTCTTCACCCCAGATTTCACTCAAGTCATCTCTTTGCTCCCTTGGTACTGCTCCTCGGATCTTCCTCAATAGCTTGTGTGAGTGGTGTGACATCCGAGCTAGTCTCACGCACTTGGGCACTGAGAAGGCTTTGTCTATCATCACCC